GAGACTCCAACTCAAAAAAAAAAAAAAATCAGCCAGGCGTGGTGGCATGTGCCTGTAGTCCCTGATACTTGAAGGCTGAGGCTGTGGTGGCCATGAGTGTGTCACTGCCCTCTAGCTGGGTGACAGAGTGAGACTCTGACTCAAAAAAAAAAGAAAGAAAACCAAACCAGGGAGTAGTAAGCCCCAGTCTTGCCCTAAAAGCCGCCCCCTCCCGTCCCCACCCAGGTACTTCAAGCACAGTGATGGCAGCTTCTCCAACAAACAATGGATCTTCTTCTGGTTCGGCCTGGCCGACATCCGGGACTCCTATGAGTTGGTCAACCATGCCAAGGGGCTGCCAGACTCCTTCTGCAAGCCAGCTTCAGACCCGGGGAGCTGACCCTCACCAGGGGCCCTGCAGGGCCTGGAACAGCCAGGGTGGACCAAAAGCCATCCTTGCGGGCAGGGGGACCCCAAGTAGCCACAGGCTGGAGGCGGCTTGGTGGCCAGTGATCTGCAGAGGAAGCGGCTCCAGCCTTGCCCAGAGGGGGCGCTGACGCAGGGACGAGTACAGAAGGCGGGGCCAGGCCAAGCCCCCTACTCTCCCAAGTCACAGCCCGATGGTCTTCAGTGTGCACCTGGATATGAGGGAGAGGGAGCCTTCCAGGCTCTGCACAGGGCAAGCCTCAAGGAGACCAGTTTCTCTGGCCTCCGTGCTGTGTTCTGAGGCCTTTGCTGTACCCTCCCTCCCTCCCTCACCCCTGTCTGTCTAATAATTCTACTACTTATTTCCATTCCTTCAGGTCTTGCAGCTTTCAGGCCTTGATTAAAACGCAAATACTTGTCTTCAGCCAGTTCACACTTGAAAGGAAATTAGAAGTGACCCCCCTCCCCGGGACTCCTGGAGGGAGAGATGCTTAATGAGATGGAGGCCTCCAAGGATGAGCCTCTCCCTCCCGACCCCAGTCTAGGAAACACCCCCCATTCCACACCCACCTCCCTGCCAAGCTGGCTCACAGTCAAACCCAGGTGGCAGTGGCTCATCTTGGACCTTGAGGAGACCAAGAAGTCACAAGACAGCTTTGGTTTAAAAGCCCAGACGTGGACGTTTTCCCCTAGACCCTGCCAAGGGTCAGGTCCAGTCTCTGCAGACCAGCATACCTCAGATGGGCAAGAGGCCCATGCCCAGACATGTGTCAAAGCCCCACAACATGCCGGGCACCACACTGGCTACAGCTAGGCTACTTACTCTCAGCGGTGTATGGACAAGGAGGGGGCTGGTCAGCAAGGAGACCATCGCGGCCCGTGGAGGTGCAGCCTAGCTTCCCACAGGAGATGGGTCTGTCAAGTTCATATCTGGGCTTGGCCACTAGGCAGACCCGACTTGGAGCCCAGCTCTGTCGGCTGAATTTGCTGTGTGGCTTGAGGCCAGCTGCCTGCCCTCTCTGGGCCTCTACTTCCTCATGCATAAATGTAAAACCCTCGGCTTCCTACCAGACACTTCATGTTAGCTCTCTCTCTCTAGCTGCTCCCACGAGAGGTTCCTTCACAAGAGCCGACTCCAAAGGGGAGGACAAGACCAGAGGGACTGACTGAGGTGAGGCCAAAAGCACAGCAAGGATCCTGAGAATCTTGAAAGGAGTCAGCACACTGTGGGGTCTCAGAACAGGGAAGGACCTCAGGGGACCACCCCGCCAATGGCCAAGTGCCCCTGGGGAGAACAGAGAAGCAAAACCAAATATCTCTCAAATATTTATTCCTGGAGGATGGTGTGGTCTGGGGTGTGGGCACTCCACCCACGTAGCAAGAGACAGGCAGCAGAAGTGGGAAGCTGGCTACCAGCTGCCCCACCCCTGCACAGCCCAGGGCAGACAGGCCTGCTCTGCTCCCAAGGCGGGTGACAGCTGCTCCTGCGTCTGTCCCCAGCATCCCTTGAGAACCCACGGGAAGTCTGTGGTGCCTGTCGCCCCGCTGCTGGCAGCATGACGCATGTGTCTCACGCACACTCACTCTGCCTCTGAAAAGCCCTGCAGAGCCCAGCTGCGTCTGCCAGTTCCCAAAGGAACTGCTCACATCTGCACAGCCCGACCTGTCTTCCTCCTGTCTCCCACACAGTGCCCATGCCCAGCCCTGCCTTGCCCCCTTCTCAGGGACAGGAAATCAGGAGCAACTGGCTCCAGCCCTCCTTCCAACTGACAGGGAAACCCTGCGAGGTATCGGCGGCGCCTGGGCATCTGCCCTCCCAAGGGCTGCACCCAGAAATGTGGACAGGAGATCTGCCTCTTAACAACGCAAAGAGAAAATTACAAAACAAAAGCAAAGGCTCCAACAAAAAGACCAAAAAGCATAAATAAAAAGCAGCTAGACCGGCAGGAAGAAGGCAGGGAGGCCCTCTCATGGCGAGACTCAGCCATCGGTGGCCAGGATGACAGCAGCCCCGAAGATGCCCACACTCTCGCCCAGGAGCTTCATCTGGTTCCAGAACTCCACCCGCCGTGTGTTGTGCCAGTAGGCAACGTTACCATCGATGAGCAGCATGACCGGGGGCAGCAGCACAGCCAGGATCTGAGCAGCCAGAGTCACATAGTAGCCTGATAGGAAGGCCAGGGCCAGGACGCCGTAGAGCACGAAGAACAGCTGGATCATGAGCTCCCCTCCCGGAAAGTGGTTCAAGTAGGCCAAGCGGTCCTCCTTGCTGTGCTGCAGCGAGTACGCCTGGAGACACACCATCCTCTGAGACACCTGTCCTCTGCCTTCTGGGGCAGGCCACCCGGGATGGCACCTGCATGTCAGCCCCGTGGGGCGGGCTTCTGATTTCCCTCTCAGGTTGGGGACTCTGAAAGCGGGGCCTTTGTCCCCCACGGATGATGGGGCCCCAGGAGGTTAGAGCCTGCCTTCCTTCACCCTGGTGGCTCTGCGGGAGGCCGTGTGCTTCCACCTCTGGGCACACCACGGAGGCCCACACAGAGCTCTGCATGATGCGATGCAGTCACGTAGCCTGGGTCCTGACCGTGTCCTCACCCACACTGGCCTCCCTAGCACCAGGAAGGATGGTAACTGGCCACCCAGGCAGCCCCTTCGGCTCTAGGGAGCAGAATTCTAGTGGGGGTCTCTCCTTTGCTCCTTCCCCAGCCTCTGGGGCTGGAGAATCACCCCATTGTGCTCTCGGGCTCTCAGGGTCGGGACTGAGAGGTCAACTCAACTTCCTCTCTACCTGGTGGTAATAATGATGGAAGAGGGGACTCTCAGCCAGGTCTCAGGCATCTGAAGTGCCTGTGGCCCAGAAGCTGCCAGGAGGTCTAGGCGCCAGGCCATGCCGAGCCGCAGGCAAGGCCTTGTTCTGCCCACCTTCCTGGGGCCCTGCCAGACCTGGGCTCCCACTTCACTCCCAGCCAGGCACCTCCCCCCAACAGCCCCCAACCTACCACGCAGATGAGGTAGATGCCCAAGAACACCTGGCCAGTGGACTGCAGGGAACGGCTGCGGGGCTTCCGGCGGTACAGCTCCCCGGCGCCACTGGCAAGCACGAGAAAGCCGCCGATGATGGCAACCGTGCGAGAGTACATACGGACCTAGGCCAGGCATGCGGAGCCCTGTCAGGAGCTGCGTTTCTCCTGGTCACCCAGAGCACACAGCTGCCCATCTCTGCACACCCGACTCCATCTGAGACATTCTCTTACCGTCTCCAAGCGTGCTGGGCAGGCACAGCAGAGACAGAGAATTCTTTTTTACAGAGGTGGAAACTGGGGCCCAGAGGGGTTAAGAAAATTATCCAAGGTCCTACAGAAAGTAAGCAGCAGAATCCAGATGCCAAGCATTGTCCGCTCCCCACCCACAGGTCTGTAGACTCTAATCTTGGTGTTCTGGCCTCAATATAGTACAGGGTCTATTGCATAAAACAAACAAAAACACTGCTCTCACTATCCTGTGGCTGTTCATACATCCGCCTCCTCTGCTGGACTGAAGTCCCTTTCTGAGGACACTGCCTTTGTCCAACCTTTACCTCCAAACCTGCAGAGCCTGGCAAAGGTCCTGGCATTTACAGGCTTAACTGCTACACTAAGACTAATTGCATTTTCATAAAATGATTTTAGGAAAATCAGGTAATCTCCAATGTCCCTTTTGCCCAATAAGCCTGATATTACTAAACTACTAGTTTAAGGCCGGGCATGATGGCTCACGCCTGTGATCCCAGCACTTTGGGAGGCAGAGGCGAGAGGATAGCCTGAGCTCAGGGGTTCGAGACCAGCCTGGGCAACTTGGCGAGACTTCATCTCTACAATAAATTTAAAAATTACCCAGGTGTGGTGGTGCGCGCCTGTGATTCCAACTACTTGGAAGGCTGAGGTGGAAAGATCGCCTGAGCCCAGCAGGTCGAGGCTGCGGTGGCCATGAGCGTGCCACTGCCCTCCAGCCTGGGGGACAGAGCAAGACTCTGACTCAATGAATAAATGAACGAATGAATAATAAACTAATAGTCTAAAAGATTCTGAGAACCGGTGACCTGGGTTCTGGGCCCATCAGTGTGCTAACTGTGGCGTTACTCGGGAAAAGTCTGTTTCCCATCTCCAGACCTCAGTTTCCACACTCTGAAAGGGAGGTCTGGGTGGTCTCGCAGCTCCTCCCACTTCTGTGTCTGTAACACGCACAAGCGTAGACACGCCCCTCCCAGGCTTCACACTGTGCACCCGGCCAGCACCAACACCGTTCACCAGCCGCCCTGGGCCTCGGCCTCTGATCCCCGCGCCCCCAGCAGCCACAGACAGGCCCCGCCCGGGGCCGCCCGCTCACCTTCAGCCAGTCCCCGTAGTGGACGTAGCCCCCGACGTAGGCGGCGTAGGTGCTGACGGCCAATTGGAGCGCGGCCCCCAGCGCGAACCAGCGGCGCTTCACGCCAAAAGACATGAAGCTGGCGCACAGCACGGCCGCCCCCATATCGAAGTACAGGTAGGGCACGGGGATGTCGGGCTTTCTGCAAGCCGGGATGGGGAAGCAAGGAGAGCGGGTCAGAGGGGGAGAAGAGCCTCGAGAGCCTTCGAGTGTCTGCAAGCTCACTGCTCCCCTGACCCGGCGCCCCCTCTCAGGGCCAGATCTGGCCCGATGCCCAGCCCAGAGCGCCCCCCTCCCAGCGAGGTCCCAGCTCCTTCCAGCCCAGGGGTCCCAACTTCTAGCCCCCTGCTTCTTCCCCGCATCCCTGCATCCCCGTCCCAGGGGCGGGCCGTACCGACCCCCACCGCGTTTGGCGGCTGCGTGGGCCTGCTCACCGGCGCGCCTCGGCCCTCTCAGCGTACAGCATGAGCTGGCTGAAGCAGCCCCAAAAGGGGCAGCGTGTAAGCAGCACCGAACCCAACTGCATGATCAACTGCAACATCCACCGTCTCGAACCTATCTTCGACGCCATTTTGGGAAAGGGCAGTCCGCTGCGGCCTCACCCCCGTCAGGGAGGCCGGCGCGGGGATGGGACACGCAACTTCCGGGTATCCAGATTTTCTTCCGCTTCCGTCCGGAAACTACGTTGTGGCTCTCTAGTTCCGGACCGAAGGAGTTCTAGTCTCGAAGTCCAGCCTTCCCTCTACCCATGCAGACTTCAGGGTCCCTCTTTGTGCCTACAAAATGGAAAACTAGAGGAAGGAACAGTGTGATCGGGACATCAGAGGTCTTAGATTCGAGCGTGATACATGGAGGCCAGCTAGTCTTTTACTGCAGCCAGACCTGGGCTCTAATCCTGACTCCGACCGTAACTGACTTGGGGCACATCGCCTAAGAGTTCCGACACTTGTCATGAAATGGGGTGGCGCCTACCTCACTGAGTTGTGACGTTTAAGTGTGGCTCTGTGAGTCCTAGCACATACCAGGGGTTTAGTAAATGGCATACGCACATACCAGCGGAAATCCCTCTGCCTCAAGTTCAAGGTAAGGGGGTCCTCCTGGCTCAAGGTCACCTGTTGTGTTTTGACCTGCCTTTTGTCTGTCCTGAGAAAAGAGGAGGGTCTGATGTGGACGTTTGAGACCTCTCAAACCAGTTCCTTGTGTCCAGCTCCCATGCCCCTGCAGCCCAGACAATCACCTTTGTCAAGCACCTGTCAGCGGCCTTCCGTGGGGCCCCACTCCTCTTTGGACGCCTCCTTTGTTCTCAGCGCCCCTATTACCTGTTTTCATACATCAGTTGCCTTTCCTTAGAGTCGTGTTAGCACAGTGGCAAGTATATATTTGACTCTTCTGTTTATTTACTTTTTATTTGTGAGACAGGGTTTCATTCTGCTGCCCTGCCCGGACTGGAGTACAGTAGCTTGATCATGGCTCACTGTGGCCTTGACCCCCTGGGCTCAAGCGATCCCTTCCC